GAAGAGTTACTGGGAGTGTGTCCTGAAAGAGTGTATTTTCATTTCCATCCTTCTCTCTTCCTGCTTCCCAGTTGCCAGATCTAAGTCTCTTTCATCTACTATGCCCTTTGTGCCTCAGAACCAGCCGGTAGTGGACTCTGAACATTCTGGAACAGTGAGCCAAAGAAACCTCTGCCTTTTTTGAAGTTTCCAGTGTTAAGCATTTTTGTCTCAGGGATGGGAAAGTGTTGTTAACCTTTCAAAGTCCGTTTGTTTTCAGAAATTATTCACCTTGAACTTTAATCTGAGTCTGCTTAGTCACCAGCTATCATGAAAGTGAAAGAGTGAACTCAAATTAAAAGGTGGAAATTTGCTGTCAGGAAAAGTGTCATGTGAAAAGCTCACAAATCCTATGTTGTAAATGATTTCTGCTTGTGTAGTGAGAGTTTTTTCTTCTTCTAGCATCTGAAAAAAATACACTTTTGAATGTCAATATTCTAGCATCTAAATTTTTATTTTTTTTTAGGAGATTCTCACTGATCTTCACTGGCTTTGCTGCAGGTTGGAGATAGGTGAACAGTGCTTGTAGAAGCATTAGGACATGTGCAGTGCAGGAGCCTAGAGGATCAAGATATTAGGCTTTTTTACTTAAGACATTGTCTTGGCATTGGTAGAACGATTTTGAGTGATCCATCTCTAATGTAATTAATTATTTGAAAACAAAGAGTATAATACATACAGGCATTGTTTATCTTGAAGAGCAAGAGATGAAATGGAGCCCATTTTGCCTGGCTATGGAGCTCTAGCATGTTAAAATGTGGGAAGGAGTCAGGCATGGTGGTGTACACCTGTAATTCTAGTACTCAGGAGGCTGAGGCAGGAGGATCACTAAGTTTGAGGCTAACCTGAGCTACAAAGTATGTTCAAGGCAAGCCTGTAACTATATAGTGAGACCCTGTATCAAAATATACAACCGCCTCCCCCAAATATGTAGCAAGTGAAGAGAGAGAAAAAGATGGAAGAGAAAGAGCAATGGAGCACCAGGTACGTGAGATAAAGTTGCAGTCTACTCAAAGACTTGCAAGTGTGTGTAAGAGGTGTCCTTAACTTGGGCTGACCCTCTATGAAGTTCTCCATTCAGGAAGGTGTGTTGTATAAAAAATAAAATACGAATTTTGTTTTTGTTTTGCAGAGTGGTATACAACACCAGCATGTCACACCTTAAAGTCTGGGGCTGGAGTTGGAGGCACAGAACTGCCCTTCAGTGGTGAGTGCCACGGCTTGGGTTCTGCCATGGGTTGGGTTCTGCGTAGGCTTGGAAGACTCAGGAGCACACCTTGAGCAGCAGGCCCAGCACACCAGCATGCTCACAAAGGCTTCTCGTGAGCACTATACCGGGGTTTACATCTCGTTGTCTTATAAAAGGCCCAGTAAAACTGGAAATAACAAATTTGGTGGTCATGCGGCCTTTTCTATGACCTCAGCGTTGTTTCATTCTGAAGAAGCTAAAGTACACTTCCCTATGCTCAAACCCACTTTGTTCTCAATTTAGAATACATAAGTACTTTATTCTGTCAGAAATTGAAAGTACTTGACTGCACAAGGCATATATGTTCTGTCTTATTCTTCATAGTACTTTGCATTCTCTTGCATCAACAAGTAATTAAGGAATTGATGTCCTGCACAGAAATTTATATGTGACAGACAAATCTACTTTTTAAAAAATTCTTTAGAATTTTGAATGATGGCAAGATGACAAAATCCATGTCTTAGAATTTTTGAGGAAAGGGGAATTTTGCATTGGCTTTTCTATTTTTCTTATTGAGGTAACTCCTTAAATCTAGAAATCTCCAAGAGGAGAAGGAGGGGGTGGAGAGAGGAGAAAGAAGAGAAAAAGAGGTTGGGAAAAGAGGCAGTTGACAGGAGGTACAACCTGGGGAGCTAAATGTAAACATTACATGTCAGATTTTAATATATAACCTGATAATCCTATGACTCATTATCTTCCATGCAAGCTTGTTAAAACCTTGTTAGTGAGTTTAGTGAATAACTATATTACGGATTTTGTGTTTCTCACTCCATCCAAAACCATGAAGGAATTTAGACTGTAGTTAGTAAGAATCCTGCTCTACTTTGTCTCTTGCCATCATGACCACCTGTTTACTCTTTCTCTCTTCTTCCTGCATACAGAACTTACAAGCTTAACTGTGTCCCACATGTTATGCCTATTTATCTAAATGTTGATTTGCAAATACACGACCATGGTAGCTGCTGCATCTGTTCCTGCTGGCTTGCATCTCTGGACTAGAAGATACCACGCCAAGTTCTACATAGCAGTGTAAAGAAGATTGAGATTGGTGAAAAGATAATACTTCCCTGATGTGTTTCCACCAAGCCTTTTCTGGCTTGCAAAAATATCTAAATAGGATGCATATCTAGACTGGTAGTTTTTAATGTGTCAATTATACTTAATTGAAAATAAGCATAATAATGAAGCCAAGTATCATAAGCCTGAGAGAAAAAGTAGAGGGAATTGCTCTTTTTCTCTTAGCTTTAAAATTTGCCCCATTAAATATTAAGCAGGTGAAAGGGATGCACCAGGGAATGACAAAGGCAAAAAGAGGGGTGAAGGATGGTTTTCTTGCAGGTCTTTTGAGTGTATGCTTTGGATCCTTCAGAAGCAGCACTGGGTGAAGTAGCATGATGGTGGAGCAACAGCGTGAGTCATGCGGTGTGCAGTGCTTCACTTCATGGAGTGCCATCCATGTATTAAAAGTTTGAATGGCACTTCTTGAAGTGGGGTAATGCATGACAAGTACAGCCTCAGTGCCAGCCTGGGAGCAGGTTATGGGTACCTGCACGCCACTGCCATTTCTTCAGTCTTAAGCCACCTTCTTACTGCAGATTCAATTCATAGGACCCTATTAAGAGCCTTCCATGGGATAAACCCTAAGGAATGAGATTCCCTGGGAATAGTCTTCATGTAGGTTTTTATGGCTTTGTATCATGCTTAAAAAAGTCAGCCCCCTTCTTTGTCATGCTTTGTATAGTGCTGTACTCATGAAGGTGGTGTTCAGATAGCTTTCATTTATGAATGGCACCATCCGAATAGAGTAGTGTGCAGTGTGAACAGCATTTAGGGTGGCGTTGTTAAGTTGCAGTGGAGATTTAGTCACTGAGCTGTGTTTTCTGGTACTTTGCATTCAGTGATGTGTCGCCTCCAATTACTTGCTGCACACCTCATGAGACAGAACTAGAAGGTCCTAGGGAAAACTTCACATGTAGGTTTTTCTGGGACTTGTTGCTTTTTCTTCACAAAAACCTGATCCCACAAGGAACAAGATTTTGAGTTTCCTTTATTTAGTTCCTCTCTGTCTTTGGAAACTTTTTCTTTGGAAACTGTTAATTGGAAACTTTGTCACAGGAGTATGGAGGCTGGCGAGTTCTGTGATCTACATGGTGATTCAGAAAACTGGTGGCCCAAGGAATCTAAAGGTACATTTACAGTCTTAACTCCAAATGCCAGAGACCTAAGAGAACTAACGATCCAATGACCAGCAGGTTTGATACCCAGAAACACCCTGTATGTGTTGTATCTGTTGAAATACAAATTCATGAAAAGTCATACGAGTTTAAATGCACATAGCCAAAAGAATTCTCCCAAACTTAAACGACAGTCAACCTTCTATTTACATGCAAACCACATCAAAGCCTGCTTTTATGGGGAAGTCCTTTGAGGACGTAAGTTTCAGGTTATAAGTTATCATGAATCTTGCTTGATGTACAGAAATAATAGAAACTGTTTAAAGTTCTCTGTATTTCAGAGAAAGAACTTTTAGGTCAGTTGAATACACAGGAAAACATACAGACTAGAGGTATAGAGAATATTCCTTACCTCACTTAGGAGGCTGAGTTAACAGGATTGCAAGTTTGAGAACAGCAAGGGCAACTTAGTGAGACCTTTTTCTCAAGTAAGAAATAAAAAGTGCTGAAGGTATAGTGTAGTAGAAAAATGCTTACCTAATATGCATGAGGCTCTACGTTCAATTCTTAGTCCCCCTTGAAAAAAAGTATAACTGGCCTTCACAGACAAAATAACCTTCTATATACAAAATAAGCTAAAGGATGAAAAAAGCCAATTAGTCAGTTTTGCAAGGTAAGTGTTTTAATAAGTTGATGTATAAAGCATTAAAAATAATAACATTTAGGAAAAACTTGAGCTTTAATTTCTTTCAACATGTAATGCAGTTAGAAGTATGCATAGGTTTTGCAGTGCTGTGTGAATTGTTGTGTATTATGTATATATATGTAATAACCTCAGTTATCATACTCAATTTGTACCAAATTTGTTTGAGTGTAATAAAAACTGAGAACTGCACATATTTTTCCCATAAGAAATAATTCAAAACCAAATAGTTGATTCTGAGGCCCAAAAATTACACTTGTATATCATTTTCCCAAGATTTCAACAACTTGCATGATGATTTCTTTCTTTAACTCAGTTTTCTCCCTTACTGCTGATATCACTGACTTTTTTTAGAGACATGTTAATGATAATTTACACACAAAAAGAAAAAAACAACAGGATGCTGAATATTCTAATGCAGTAACACAAGCACTATCTGTTTCCTGAGCGAAAGCATTGCCGCTTTGTGCCCTGGGCAAGATGCAGCCCTTGACTTGCTCTCAACCTGAATGCAATAAAATTACCAATACTAAATTGTTTTTTTCCAACTTTGTTGTCTGAGGATGGAAAGTTTGAACTTGCAGTTGTTAAACTGAGATGTCAACTTTGTTGTATTCTTAAATGTAGTTATTCTATATCACAGCTGTTCAGCCTAGTTTTTCTATAGATTCTGATAAAGGTGTTTTAAATGCTCTATAATTACGTCTAGATTTATTTTTTTCCTTTCACATTTTCAAATACTTAATATAAATCTCATTTATAAGTGTACCTCAGTGAAATGTATTTCAGTTCTTTGTGCCACAGTCTTTTAGAGTAGTGTTTATTGCCCTTTGCTTTGCCCTTTTAAGGTTGACACAGTGCCTTCAAAGGGTAATACAGAAGGGAAAAGAAAGACTCCTTAAAGCCCAGATAAGAGATTAAACTCTTCTTTGGGTCCTGTCTGGAGTCACAGGTGGGAAAAAAAAAGTGGTATCGTTAACAGTAGATACTCCTCCATTTTTACCTTGTTTTTTTAATTCTTAAACTTACGTTATTTCTCTTATAAGTAAACACAGAAATGTCTTGCATTTTTAGAATTAAAAAATACTTTTTACTAGAGCATTTCATTGCATTTATATGTACAGTGTCTGCTAAACAATGCATACACACTCCAAGAAAAGAAAAATTGTAGGGGGAACCTTAGAGAGTGTCATATAGTGCAGCAAACCCACTACACTGCCAACTTTTAGACAAGAAATTGAAAATGCATGCGCAGCATCTAGTGACCAAGGTTACCCATGCAGCAGTTCGCTTTAGTAATGAGTGTCTGGAAGCTAATGGCCACCACTTTAAGCACTTCTTATACTTTCAGAAGCCAAAGGTGACTTCTATTAATGTCATGCTGTCACAGTAAATTTAGTATTAAAATGTTTATACAGGTGTTTTTTCCTGAAGTGTGTGTACGTTTTTTGATGGACATTGTAATGTAGTTTCTGATAAAAAATACAGTTTGTTTATGGTAATTTCTTATGTAGCCTATATTTTCTCTCTCCTCTGTCTCCCTTCCTGCTTTGTTCTTAATTTGATTTGCTTTCAAAATAGTCATTTTAATATGGACTAGTCACATATCATAGACTAACTGCTGAAAACTTAGTTTTTTTCCTGATCTTTGTGCTGATTTGCTGTATATTTATATATTTTATTTTGAAATGTATCCTGGACCCAAAAAGATATTACTGATGTAGTTTCTTTAGAAAGTCAGTATTTTTAATAACTCAGTATTCTTTTTTGTTCTTGTAGTTAACCCTTCAAACTATTTTTCTTTCAGCCCACAGTACTGCAGTGTTTTATGTAGTGTGGATTATTGAAACAGAGGTCAGTCAGCTTATTTTTTCTTGACTGAAAACACACTTTCCTTAAGTTTTGAAGAACATTCTTTAATCACATTAGAAGTATTTCTAGTTTGTTCCATTTTTTCTGGGAGTATTGGCTGTAGCTTTTAGTTTCTTTTAAGGTGTAAATTTTTATTTGTGACTGGTTTAAAGAGTTTCTTTTATTTTATTTTGGATGATCTACCACCAGAGTTGGTAACAATTTTCTCTAAAGAGAAACAAAAAGTATTTTATACTTTGCAGTCCATACTCTTTTTGACACAATTACCTAATTTTTCCTGTGTAAAACAAAGTAAGCCAATGATACTGCTTAAGCAAATTTGCTGTTCCTATTACAACTTCAAAAAACTTGTACAAGCCAGTTATTGTTTGTGTATGTCAGATATTGAGCTGTACATTAATTGTGGATGATATGCCTATAGTGATTTACTCCACATTAAAATTCTATTTCCACAGTTAGTGAAACACAGGTACAAATGACCTCATTTCAATCATAGGTTGAGATGCACTTATGCTGAGAAGTTTAGTGTTATTAAGAGTCAGCCCAGCTTTTCTTTATACATTGGCTTTGGCATGAGAGACTCTCGGATTTGTCTCCTGGGATCTGAAAGACTTCCAGAGATGAATTTTACCTTTCAGAGATTTTGATCTTAGTGTGTTTAGGCAACTAGGGAGGTTATAGGCAGCTTCAAAAACTAACAGATGTCACGGCTCTGCCACTGTTCATGGATTTGTGCCTACCCTATCCTGAGTAGTTCTACAAACTAACATAAATCATAGTGTTCCTTACAGAAATTTTGGAAATATTTCTCAAACCTGCTATAAGTTTTACCACAAGCCAGTGATTTGTAAAATAAAAAATCTAGGGCCAGGGATTTATCTCAGTGGCACAAATAACTGCCTAAGCACAAGGTCATGAGTTAGATCCTTGGTCCCAATAAATTTTTTTAAAGTAAATAAATAAATAAATAAAAATCTAGTACTGTATTTTGGTTTCCTTTTTCTCCAGTAAAGTTCTTTTGCCAGGGACAGCCCAGATTCTTAATCCACAATAGTAAGGGCTCCCCAAGAAAAATAGAGGTCATGAGGACGCATGGAAAAGGCATTTTACCTGCTAGAAATTTTCATTCATGTTATATTTGTTTGTGGCCTTGCAATAACTTTACATTTAAAATTATTTCTGCTTTTTTCTTGTCTCTATATCTCAGGCTATCCTTGAACTTAACTATGTAGTCTAGGCTGGCCTTAGATCCATAGTAATTCTCTTGCCTCAGCCTCCCGAGTGCTAGAATTACAGGTGCATACTACAGCACCTGGCTTAAAGGTATTGATGTATTTTTCCGAGAGGATGTTAGCTAATAAAAAATGTATTACCCAGTCTAGTTGGACTTAATTTATTTTCATTTTGAGCTTTAGCATATATTGGTACTTTTTGGTGAAAGCAGTGTACTTGACCAACCCATTTTTAACAAATCTTTTCTTCATTTCCTTTGAATCAGTTATGAAATTGCTGATATATTACTATTTATTACTATTTTCAGATTTTAAATTTATCTCTTAATTACCTGAGGTTATAGTGATGGATGATTGTGACAAGTTACTATTCAGTATTCTCTTGTTTAGTAAGGAGGTTTCCAAGGTGACGGTTAAAGGAAATAATGATAAAGAAATGTGGAGCATTAGGGATGGATGGTGACTTAAGAACAATATCAATAATAAGGGTATTAGCACCAATGAGGAGCAGAGTCCCACTTTGCATTAGATAACTTAGGCTGTTTCTGATATCATAATTACATTTTTTGTTTTTTATTTCTGGCAATCACTTTAATTTTTAAATTGGTATAACAATATGTATATAAGTGGCAATTTTCATATAAAATGTTTTGAAATGTATATATGATGTAGAACGGTTAAGTACAAATAATAAATGCATTCTATACTACCTCATACTTTTTTTGAAAAAAAAATTGATTTTGTTCATTTATGTTTCTAGTACATGGTGTTTGCATTCATCTTAGGGAGGAGGTGCATGTGTTTACTATATCTTGATTCTTTTCATTCCTCTTCCACTATTCACACAACTCCCTGCCTACTTCCCTAGACCTCCTTTCCCCCTTTTCATTGTTATTGTTACTACTATTATTTTTATTTTTTTAAAATTTTATTTAAAGAGAAAAAGAAAAAAAGAATAAGTAGTACAGAATTTTAAAAAAAAAGGAACAGTAAGAAATCACTAGTTAATAGATTACATATTGTCATCTTAGAAATAGTTGTTCAAGTTACAAAATTAAAGCATACAAAGTGGACATTCAAACAGTGAGACTGCAAATAGTTATGTTCAATGATCCAACAAAAACTCAGTAATATGGTTATCTATCTTATACACTTAAATATATATGCTATTATATCTTTGAGAGCACTTTCTTTTCCTCTCCTTTTCACAATAACAATTACACATTTTGGGTTTTATTACTCCCACAGTTCTTACTACTTTTTTTGAAGAGAATAAAACCAAATATGACAAAATAAAAGAGTCAATCAAATCAAAAGGATGGACGTATAGTACATGATGTAAAAACAATACAAGGTGATCAGCAGTAGTTACTATAATGCCTCTTGCTATCTTAAAAATAATTGCCTATATCATCAGTTATAATAAAATTGAATAAAACACTACAGAAGAAAACCAATAAAACCAAAACATTTGAGACATTACAGGACTTCAAAAGAAGATAATAGTCAAACCAGAATGGGCATCATAGTGAATCTTAACTGTCTTCAAAGTAGTTGTCTATATCCTCAAAGTTGATACTATCAAACAAAACAGAATAGAGTAAAATCAGTAAAAACAAGATGGTGAGAGAAATATAGGGCTTCAAATCAAGTTAATAGGAAATCATAAAAGTTACTATAATATATCCTGCTATTTTTTATTTTTTTCCTAAATTTAAAAAATAAAGGAGATTGAGATAAAAGAGGACATAATACAAAAGCACAGGTCAGAACAGAACAACTTATGCAACATAGTCTTTCACCACAAGATAAATTTTTAGTTCGTGTTTGTGACATACAATGTTCACATTCATTGAGGGTTTTTGTTACATGTACATGACACATATAAAATTTTTGTACCTCTTCTCCCCCTACCCCTGTCCCTAAGTCCATTTCCTTCTTGCAGAATGCTAGCTCCCTTTTTGTTAGTCTTTTGTTTGTATCTTCATTTGTATCCTTTTTGTTAGTCTTTTGTTTGTATCTTCATTTGTATCTTCATTTGCATTATTCAAATGAGAGACACCATATAGAATTTAAGATTGTGTTATATTTCACTTATCATTGTTTTCCAGGTATATCCATTTTCCTGCAAATGACTTGAATTATTCTTTATAACTGAATAGTATTCCATTATATACAGATCCCATGTTTTCTTTATCAATTCATTAGTTGACGGATATAGCTTCCAGTATTTAGCTATTATGAATTGTGCTTCTAAAACATGGATATGCAAGTATCACTGTAATATGATATATTAAGCCCTTTGTGTAAGGATACCTAGAGAGGGGAATAGCTAGGTAAAATGGAATTTCTATTTTTAATTGTTTGAAAAATCTCTGTACTTGTTTCCATAATGATTATACTTGTTTACCTTCCCACCAACAGTGTAGAAGAGTTCCTTTTTTTAATACGACCACACCAACATGTGTTGTTATTTGATTTCTTAATAGTCGTCATTCTTTCTGGTGTAAGGTGGATTTTAATACTGTTTTAGTTTGCAGTCCTCTAATGGCCAGAGATGTTGCACATTTTTCATACATGTATTGTCCATTTGTATTTCCTGAGAAGTGTCCATTAATTTCACTTGCCCATTTTTTAAGTCATCTTTTCTGATGGTTGGTGCAGTTTTTATGCATTCTTTATTATTGTAGATACTAATCATCTGCTTGAGAAATACGTGGCAAAAAAGAAATTTCCATTTTGTAGGTTGTCTCTTCACTCTTGATTGTTTTTATTCTGTGAGATGCTTTTTACTTTCATGTAATCCTACTCGTTGATTCTTGAATTATTTCTCGTGTAATTAGAGTTCTC